ATAAAAAACTTACAGTACTGTACGTTTGTGTCTTGGAACAATTACTTTGGCCGCATGTACCTTATTATTGAATCCATTTGTTAGTATTTGGACCCTTTTTTAACTCGAAGATTGCGAAGCAATTGAAGAGTTATTGGAGGGGGACGGGTCTGTCACTCACTCAATCACTCACTCAGTCACTCACTTTCCTGTAAACTTTAGCCTTCGTTACTTGTGTTCAGAATTATAATTAATTTATCCCCATTGTTCTCTATTAATTTACTCATTAAGTTACCGGGTTCCCTGATCTATATTTGGTTTAATTTATTTATTTTTTGACAAAGAAAGAAATCTAATTAAAGAAATGTCAGCTCCTCTGAGTCTTGAAATTCAGAACTCTGAATTAAGCCCCATCTACACGAACAATTTTTATGTGACAATTTTTAATTGCTCATTCTCATCCTCGTTCTTCTGAGCATGGCATAATGCAATGCTGAAACATGTTAAGATAAAAAATATATCGTATTTTCTAAAGTTTTATTATCTCTAGTACTCTTACGAAACTATAGTATTTAAATTTGTTTTGTTTATTGATATCTCCGCTGTGCAAAATCACAGTTGGCACGATTCTTCAACAATTATTTGCTGCCTGCCCATACGGAAAAAAATTGTCACGTATAGTTGTCACATAAAAATTGCTCGTGTAGACAGGGCTTTAAGGCATTAAACTCTAAAAAAGCAGGTAATTAATAATTGAACTCCAAAGATATTTCCATTGAKGGAAGTTGTGTTTTCTTAGGGATTCAGTTGGTATTGTTTTTTGACACTTCCGGTGATTTTATTTGTTTTTCGGATCCAGATGTAGCGCTTCTGGTCGACATAGTTGTAGCTCGAGTGATATTCATCTCGCCGGCACTCGCCAAATTTTATCCAGAACCGAAGTTAAATTATAAAACTCTATTCATAAATCGTTTACTTATTCTATTCGTTAAGTAATTATAATTTGATTCATCGTTATATCTTTCTGTATTCGTCTTCACAATCAATCTTCGAGTTGTGTTGCCATTGGCGGCTTGATTGATTTATAGTATTGTTGTTTCAGGTCATCAACCTATCTTTGTGCCTGTCTTTTGCATCGTTATTTTACACAAGTAAGGATGAATATATCTGAAACAGATTTATTATTGACTTTGCATGTACTTTTTGTTTGAAAAAATATCGATAATTATACTGTACATGTACATACAATTTATTTTTTGTTTGAAAAAATATCGATAANCCCAATTTAACATTGTTCAGGTAATGTTTGAAAGGGAATATATGTCAAGTGAGACTACAAGTTGATCATAGACTTCCAAAATTTAAAAAAAGAACAAGAGGAAATTTGCACTTCATTCAATGTGACCATGGTTTGTCATGAATAAACATCCATTTGTTTAATTGCCAATCAGAATGCTGGATTTTTTTTATAGCCCATAGGTTGGTGGATGATAATATAGGATATTACAAGATATAATTTCTTTGAAATTATTATTTGAATATTAAACTTTTCATCACATTTAGATGAAATCTTTATCTCCAAACAACCATGTACATGTAATATTTATTTCATGATTTAATGCATCCACTAAAAATCCATAATCTTTACTTTGAAACATATTTATTTCTATATTCTTATCTTCAGAGTAATGAGACCCTTAAACCATCTGTGCAAATAAATGCTGAGGTAAGTGATATAAGAGAAATTAAGTCCATCAATTTTCAAGTTATGCACTGAACAAGAATGATCATGAAGTGGCTATGATTGATACAAATGTCACATGTCAATATATGGCTAATGTTTTCCTAATTTGAAAATATGCTCAGTGAAACACTTGATATTCTAGGAGCTGAAAGAAGTCACAAAGACCTTATTTGTTGAAGTTATCAATGAGCTGTTGGTTGATATTACAAATGATGCATTTGAGAAGGTGAGACTAAGTCTTATTGTTTCTTGTGTCTGCTGGTAAACAAGATGTAAGACAGGTCATTCAATAAAATGTGGTGTCATTAYCAAATTGACATGGCTCTTTGCTTGGTGTGTTAACATTTATTCATGAAGGTTAATCTCTAAAAGTGAGCCATAAGCTTCAAGATCCATAGATTGAAGACAATATTTTCATATATTAATTTATTSTATAACTTAATTTTTATGTTAAGGTCCAACAGCTTCTTACTATGTCCAATGACATTGCCAGAGAAATAGAAGAATGTAGTGTCTCTATACTTATACAGGAAATTGTAAAAAGTGTGATACTTGATGAGCAACGACAACAGAAGTAAGTCTTTTAATCTTAAAGAGTAACTGCTTATTAAAATTGATATTGAACCCAGTTACCATGACTGGGGTCCCAATGATTACAAGATGAGGGGAAGAGATTTTGAATTACTTGAATTGAAGGTACTCTACAGCAGACTGGGATTTCAAGATAATGCATGTAGTATAAATTTGAGATCCATGGTCGGCTATTCACCTCAAGAATAAACTCTTGTTGATAACTAAAAGGCAATTTGCATTAAAACTACTTA